AAAAAAAAAAAGGCTTAGGATAAAATTCAAATCAAGGATGAATGTAACCCCTTCCTGAAGACTCTTGAGTGAGAAACTGATGTGACTCCATTTTTTGAAAATAAATAAATAACAGCAGCTTCTACCTCAAGGCCTGTCCTAAGGAAGGGGGCTTGACCCTTGTCCTTGGAAAAACCCACAGAGCCTTTCTAGGCAGATAGCCACCCTGCTGAGTTGTTTGTCTGTAAATAACTGGAGAGATCTGTGTTGCCAGGTGTCCCTGACTCAGTTAGGCTAGGTGAGGACCCATAGCAACCCCCTAGCAACTACCAATCAGCATGAGACAAGGAAAAGACCTGGGACGCCAGATGACACCCCAGTAGCTTATGGTGGTTAATAACATGTTGGGAAACCATGTAGTTTAGCACGTACACCCCTCGTGGACTAAACCAATCAGTTCAAAGGAACCCCCTTCTTGTATTAGCCAATCACCCCTACCCAACTTATTCCTGCCACTGAATGTGCTAATCAATGTTAAGAGTTGTTGTTGATTTTCCTGAGGTATGGAATGATTTGCTGTGTGATGTTGTGATGCATAGAGTATCCCCCCAAAACCTGTAAAATCTCACTGAACAAAGGACCAGGACTCACTCCCTGGGACCGCTGCATCAGGAACAGTTGTGAGTCCAGGCTGGAGCTTGCAATAAAGACTCTTGTGTGATTGCATTGGATTCAACTCCTAGAGGTCTATTGGGGTCCCACGAATCTGGCATTACATGAGAAATTCAGGGCAATGACTTGGAGACTTCCTTAAATAGACAAAAGGACATCTAAGAACTGAAGTGCCTCAAATGTGACCCAAATGTGGATGATGGTGGAAGAAAAGGAACCCCTTAGTGTCTAGGTCCTAGTTCTCAATCAACATCACTTGTATTACATTTTCCACCATTAGTTGTTTTCTCATATCTATTACATATTGAGTAACCATAAACCACAATATTATGTTTTAAACTAGAATCATAGTATTTAAATTAGAATAAATTTATTTTTTTTTTTTTACTTTTTTTTGTGGAACTTGCCATTACTGAAAATACGACCTTAGTAGACCCACTACATTTTATAGTGTCAGAATAACTGCTGTTAGCCTGAAATTAGTTCTATTATGGATAGAGAAGCTAGAGAAAGAAGGGGGAAAAAATTATACAGATCATTACTTGGGAAAAAGAAAACTTAGTTGTAGAACAACAAAACAAAACAATAAAAATGTTGGTGAGTCAAATGGCAATGCTGTCTTCTTCATCAAAAAGGCATGAAATGAACTGGGCATGGTGATGTGCACCTGAAGCTGAGGCAGGATGATCCCTTGAGCCCATGAGCTCAGGGTACCAGCCTGAACAACACGAGACTCCTTCTCTTAAGAAAAACAAACTCTCCTTGAAACGATCTTAAAAGTTTTCATGCCAAGGAATTTTAATAAGATTCTAGGGCTGTGTGGGATTTGTTCAGTCACTCATTTGTTTGTTTATTTGGCAATAATGTGCTCTAGTATTATGCTACATACTGTAGTTTTTGACCTCATAGTTTTTTGGAGGTGAAGATTAGAGTGGTAATACAAAAAGAAATATTCTGTTACAGTGGAGTATAATGAGTGACATGATAGACTACTCGACTGTATTAGTCACCTTCACATCATGATAGCCAAGTATCTGAGGCAACTAACTTATAAAGAGAAGTTTAGCTTTTGATGAAGGCCACAGGTGGCAATGGCAGAAGCACATGTTGCAGCAAATGGTCGCATCAGAATCCAAGAAGCATAGAGAGAGAGTGAGAGACTAGAATTCCACATTCCCTTTCAAGATTATGTCCCCAGTGACCTAAGGATTTCTCATAAAGACCCAACTCCCAATGCTACTCTAGGGACCAAACTTTTACATACAGATCTTTGGGGACACTCATCCAAACCAAACACTAGAATCAAGGATTCTGTTGATGCTTCTTATAATTTAACTCAATAGCCTCTAGTCTATAACTGCAGAAATGTTTGTGTTGTAAATTATAGGCATGACTGCAGGGAGTGCTACATCTGCTTCTTCACTCTCCAGGTTTCAGAGACCTATACATGCCCTTGAGCTTCATCACATGGGGATCCTTGTATCTTCATGCTATTTACCCACAAAATATGCTGCATAAGAGAAAACACCATTCTTTAATTTTCCCATAGGATTTCCAGCTGGTGTCTAAATGCATTTTCTGGAATAAAGAGTATGTCTTCAGAGAGTAAAATGAGGACCCTTTTTAATGTAATAGAAGTAGTTTCAAATGTCTCAAGTCTGTTTCTCCTCATGCCAACTGAGATCTATAGCTGGGACCACCAGCCTGATTTTTTATTTTCAAGTGTGTTAACTGTTCAGGTATGAGATCATGGCCCAGATATCTATGTAGACCCAGTAAGCAAGTAATAAATATTTCTTGAGTGACTTAAAAGCATCACTGCAGGACTATTTTTCTGTTACATTTTTATTTGGCACAAAGCTTTGTTTTGTTTTTGTATTTATGTAAACCATTTTAGAATAATATGACAAACCACCAAAAGGCTGGAGGGTTAGGGGAGGGATAACGAAAGGAAAAAAAAATAGTAAACAAGGCAAGAAGTATGACTAGCTTTTTTTAAAACTTTTTTTTATGAGCAAAAAATTATTTCAAAACACTATCTTTAGTGGCTGAAGTTGTAGCTCAGTAGTGGAGCGCTTGCCTAGCATGTGTGAGGCACTGGGTATGATTCTCTCGGCACTGCATATAAATAAATAAAAGGTTCATTGACAACTAAAAACACATTTTAAAAAAATCTCACTCTCTTTAAAAGACTGCTTTTACTTGCACAAATCTGGTTATTGTACACATGTTAGGAACAATATAGTACAAAACCAAAACTAAAATGGCAACCTATTTTGCAAGATGAAATTTGTGAAAAAGCAATACATATGCATAGCTTCAGTAAGGTACAGTTAATAGAGTGCCAAATGGGTAATGCCAACACTCCTTGTTAGAAACAATCGCCAAAGGAAGTAGGAAATGCCAACACTCGCCAAAATTGGCTTTCTCTTAGACAACCCATGTGAAACAATCATCTCCTAACAAAGGAAGAACCCCTTAAGAAGGAATTGATAACCTTAACAATAAGCTTTATATAATTGCTGCAAAGTTGGACAGCAGAGTCAGTTCCTCCTCCTCCCTAGAGAAGCTAAACTTGATATCTGTGTTTGCTCTAGTTTTCCTGTAGTCAAGTCATAGGCCTTTTCTCTTAGCCCCTTTCAGGCTGCTCTTTATCCACCTTTTCCCTGGAGAAAAAGACTTGTCATCCCCAAATCCCATGTACCCTCCCCCTGGTTTCTTGGCCCCATCCCTTCCCGCATTTCCCAATCAGTTCTAATTTGTTCCTTCTTCCCAGGCTGGCTGAGCTTCAGACCCTCCACTTCTTCCCCTCCTCCTCCTCCTCTCCCGGACTCTTTCTTTCAGCCTCCCCTCCCCTCCCCCAGCAAGCCTCCCGGCGTGCTTCCCTTCCCCCGCCTCTCCGTCCCGCACCCTCCCCTCCCCCCGCCTCCTGCCTTGTGACACATCCCGGGCCCTCCCGGAGGCGGCAGCAGCGGCTGCAGAGCTAGCCGCCACCACCATCGAAGCCGCAACCCGGGCTCAGCCTGCCTCCAGCCCCGCAGCTGCTGCAGTCATGGCTGCAGATGGGGTGGACGAACGCTCGCCTCTGCTTTCAGCATCCCATTCGGGAAATGTCACTCCCACCGCCCCGCCGTACTTGCAAGAAAGCAGCCCCAGAGGTAAGGCCAGCGTAGACCCTTCTGCTTGGCAAGGAAAAGCCTAGAATATAGAAAGACCTGGGAACTCTAGCTTAGCGGTGGAGGCGAGCCTGTAACTGGGGCTGGGGAGGAGGATGCTGACCATGCCTCCCAAGCAGTGTCTGCCCGTCAGATAGCTTCGCCGCAGGGTTTTTCTGTTGCTGCTGCTGCTGCTGGTGGTGGTGGAGTGTGTGTGCATTTCACCACTTCTTACCCAGGGGTACAGGATGTGACATGCATTTCCCAAGCTGTGCGTTACTGTTTTCAGAACAGCCCCTAAGTGCAGCGGCGAGGTGGTGCAAATCTTTCACAATCATTCACAAATCCTTTCAGGTTGCTGAGAAACCGGGGAGTACTGCTCACCTTGGCATCTGTCCTTGAAGGGACTTAAGGTTGAAAAATATGCATCTCTTATATTCACCCCACTAGCACTTTGTTCACTCAGGAAATTGCCCTACCAAAATGCATATAATTAATAAATATTCCTAATATGTCCGAAATTCCTGCCCTTCAGTATTACTCTTGCTTGTAGGGATTACGTGTTAGCTTTAATTGTGAATAAGAAGAAAGAAGCTTACTTCTGATAGAAGGAAAGATGGGATATTTTTAATGCATGTCTGGGTGAGGCTGAAATTAACTTTTAAAAAGTAACCCAAGTTAATATTGTCTATATTCCCATTTTCTTCTCACTATAAAATAAAAAATGATTTTATCAAATGAGGTCTGAAGAAAGGAGGATCTGTTTTCCAAATATTCAATTTATGTAAAGATCTGTCTTTGTTCTAATCCTTTTGCTTGATTACTATAGGAGAAATAAGGTGGAGTCCAGAGTTATAGAGAATGGAAGGCAGGGCTTGAGAAGATCATCAAATAATGGCACTTGCAAATGTAACTTAAGAGCATCCTCTATTTTTGCTGAATGTGAGCAAAGTTTAAAAACCCAAAGAGGCAAAGGTAATGCTTATGAAAATACAGGCAGGTCATGTTTCTTGTAACACAACTTTTCTATGTTCAAGTCTGAAATTGGAGCAGATATAGAGCAGGTTGAACTTAAAATTTCCATCTCACACATTAAAACTTGAAAATCAACTCTCTGGCTCTTAATCCACACTTAACAAGAAGCAAGACAAAGGAAAAGATGTTTAGCTATGAATAATTCAGTGTGATTGATGGTTTGAGAGGTAAGGTGCTAAATGGAACAGAAACTTCTCTGTGAAAAACTCCCAAGTCATGTCTGTTGGTCAGCATTAATTAAACTTGTAGCAGAGGACACCAGGTAGGGGGATTTCATGAGTAGGTCAATTTGATTTTAATATTTTCCTGTTAAATAAATTGTTATTCATTAATTTCTTTTTGTGGTGCTTAGGATTGAACCCAGGGCTTCTTGTAAGCTAGGGAAGTGTTCTATCACGGAGCTAAACCCCACCCCCCCACCTCTGTCCTTATTTGTTAATTTCTTTATGACTGTTTTGACTTAATTTAGTCAATCTTTTAAGACAAAATATTTGACAATAAGTTTGGATTTAAGTAATTGATCTGGAACCTATTTTTATGTATTTTCTCAGATCCATGTTTTTGTACTTAAAATCAACTAGTGGTGACATTATTTAAAACAAAACAGTAACTTTCATGGACCTGCATGTTGACTTTAATATTATTTTCCATAGATTTTTTTAAGATGATCAAACTCCTCAAAGTACACAGAAAACAAAAGTTCCATTTTCAGCTACTGAGAAAAAGTAATTTTGTTCTAACAACCAGATAAATACAATGGTTTAGAAAAAAGTGTATTCTATAGAATAAATTTTTTCTTACTTGGTGAATGAGGTTAGATAATTAGATTCAAGATCTTCATATGACATAAAGCTATAAAACCAGAAGCATAAATGAGAAGTAAAGCCATTTTGTTCCTGTTTTTGACATAATATCTTTTCTCAATGAATAACAAATAAGTTCTTCATAAATGTTTTGAGTAATACACAAAATCTAATTATTGAAGACCGCTGCCATCCATTCATTCAATAATTTATTGGGCAGCACAATGCTCTAGGTGAATAAGACTGACCAACCATGTATCTCATGAAGCTTATATTGTAGTGGGGGAGAAAAGATAAGAAATGCATGACTGAATTAATTCCAATTCTACAAAAAATTCTAACTCTGTCCCCAGACCAGAAGTTAATAGTTGAAAACAATTAGAGTTCAGAGTTGAAATTCAAAAAACCAGAAATAGAATGTACCTTTTGATAACAAATTTTAATTTATAATAACATTTAAAATTACTAAACTTTGTATTAAAAAAATAAGTTGAGAGCCACAACTAGTCAACATTTTCTCCAATCCAACTCATTGCTCTTTGGGTCACCCTCTAAGATACATGAATATTAGTTCCCATCCTCAAGATGAAGTACTCCATTTTTAGTTGAAAATTGCTTAGTGCTTTTTTTTAGACAAATTATTAATATTGTAGTGAGGACAGTTAGCTTTGTGCATCAGGTTTTAATCCAAGAAGAATCAACATGCGTGGTGTTTGGTGGGTTTCTAAGTGGAATGCTTCTAGTAGTCTCCACCATCAACACTGGATCTCTCCATGCTGTAGGGAATCACCCTTCTCCTGGTTATAGTGTTCTCTTTTATACATGTTATGGTTTAGCTATGGTGTCTCCCAAAAGTTCATGTGTGAGGCAATGCAAGAAGGTTCAGAGGAGAAATGAATGGATTGAGAGAGTCCTAACCTAAACAGTGAAGTAATCCCTGATGGGATTAATTGAGTGGTAACTAACTGAAGGTAGGTGGGTGTGGCTGGAGGAAGTGGTTCTTTAGGGATGAGGCTTTAGGGTTTACATTTTGTATGTTGAAAGTGGAGACTCTCTGCTTCTTCATCACCAGGGTAAGCTGCTTCCCTCCACTACACACTCGGCCATGATGTTCAGCCTCACCTGAATCCCTGAGGAATGGAGCCAGCCTTCCATGGACTAAGACCTCTGAAACCATGAGCCCTAAAATAAATCTTTCCTCCTCTACAGTTGTGCTGGTCATGTCCTCTAGTCACAGCAGTGAAGAAGCTGACTAAAACAGTACATCTACCTGCTTTTGCTCAGGTTTATAAATTAAAATCAAGGACAGATTTATGCTCATTTGAAAGAAGATTAGAAAAAATACCACAACTTTGTGCAACATTTGGGTATATTAGTTGATTCCTTTATACATGTACATAATATTATAGGCAAGATCTGGCACAAAAAAATGACCTTTGCATTTATAAGATTTCCTTTGTAAAAAATGTTTTATATTTGGGGTTGTCTAATCTAATCTATGCACAGTACCGAATATGGAAATGTGATTATATACTTCACTATAATTCATAAGGAAAAAAGTAATTTGTAACACAGAGGAAGATAGTTTGGTTGGCTTAGTTTCTTTTTTTTATTCATTCCACAAATAAATAGTTGAGCACTAGCCAATCTCTGTGTTAGTGGCGAAAGTGAAGTGAGGGGTATTCAGACATAAATTCCATAATTCCCAAATCAATGCAAATTGAGGACTATGCTGGAAATTTGTCCAATACCTTGAAGGTATATATTATAATCTAACCTAGTTAGGGAGTCAGGGAAGGCTTTCCTGAGGTTTGATTGAGATCTGACACTTAAGCAAGAATTAACTTGGCAAAAGGGACTTTGGATGAACATTCTAGGCAAAGAAAGCAGAATGGGCAAAACCTTTGCAGGATGAAATGTGGCAGGTTCAGGGCTGAAGGAAGTCCTATTGGCTCAGATGCAAGCCACATAGGGAATGTGCTGTGGAACGGGATTCGAGAGAAAGGTACTGTTGATATTCTACAGAGACTCTCATTCTCCTCCAAAGAACTATGCTTTCAGATATTCATGCCCTTTTTCGGTTTAATGTGGATTAAAGCCATGACTTGATTGTGAGCTGTAGAATAAAGTAGAAAGTGTGTGGGATGACATAGGAGGTTCAGTCAAAAGAGGTTTTACAGCTTGTGCCTTGGTCTCTCTTGAGAAGTGTACTCTGGAAAAAAGTAACTTGTCATGTGAGAAATGAAATATCCTGAACCTCTCATGCTTTGAAGAATCTAAAACCAGCCATGTGGAGAGTCCACACAGAGAGAAAGATGCCAAACCAACTTTCAGGATGTGTCAGTGAAGGTGCCATCTTGCATGCCAGCTCAGTTGAACCTTCAAATGACTCCAGCACTAGCCAGATTCTTACTGCAACTGCACAAGAGGCTCTCAGTAATAATTATCCAACTGAGACTGAACAACCCATAGAACAAAGAGTGCTAATAGTAAATTTTTTTTAAGCCATTAAGATTTTGGGTGATTCATTCTGCAGGAACAGATGACCAGAATAAAGAATCCAAGTCAGTCCATTGTTGGTTGTGCTAAGGAATTTTCCTTTCAAAGAGATGATTAGATTAGATTTTTATGCTTTTTAAAAATTGCTTTGTAGATTAGATAATGAATTCCAGGTTTTACTAGATGAGGATGTATGTCTTCTTTGGCTGACGTATTAATTCAGGCAAATTTAGTGAATTATGATGGTTGTTTAGACTCAGTTGGTGGGAAAAAATGGAGAACCGAGGGAAGATGTTAAGAAAGTAGACTGCAAGGGGCTTGATGATGAATTTGACATGAGAGTAAGAAGGAGGTGGCAAGGATATTTCCTAGAATTCTGATACAGGAGACTGTGGCATGATTACCTGCACTAAGACAGAGATCATCAAAAGGAGAACAAGTTTTGTAGAGTACATTATGAGCTTAGTTTTAGACATGGATACATTTTCAATGTTTTCAAATATTCAAAAAGAGATGTGGCTGTTGGATCTACAGGTGCAGTACAAAGAAACAAGGCCTGGACTGAAAATACAAATGTGCATTATTTGCATATTGGTGCATATTATTTGCCAAATATATGGATATTGGTTTAGAGCCTCCCAGGGTTTCACCAGTGTGCATGGAATG